ATGCCAAGCACATTCACGGGAAGAAAGACAGCTTCCTTAATAAATGGTGCTGGGGAAAGTGGCTTTCCACATGCTGAAGATTAAAACTAGATCCATGTCTATCACCATGCACTAAACTAATATCAAAATATCAAAATGGGTTAAACACCTAAAATGTAAACAAACACTAAGCCTGCTGGACAACAGACTAAGTAGCAGTCTTGAAGACAAAGGTTTGGGCAAAGACTTATGAACAAGTCCTTGTTGCATAGGAAATATTACAAAGAATCAACAACTAGGATCTTGTCTTATTAAAAGGTTTTGCATGGCAAAAGAAATCATCAACAAAGCGAAAAGACAACCCACAGTATGGGAAATTTTTTTCCACCTGTTCCTCTGACAAAGGACTAATGTCTATAATACATCAAGACTCAAAAAAATCACATGTCCCAGATTTAAAGGTGCTACCCAGAAATGGGCATGTGAAACGAACAGATACTTCTCAGATGAACAAGTAAACCTGGCAAATAAGTATATGAAAAAATGTTTAATATCACTGCTCATTTGAAAATGCAAATTAAAATAACGCTGAGATTCCATCTCACTCCAGAAAGAATGGCTATTACTAAGAAATCAACTAAGAACAAATGCCGGAGGGGCTGTGGGGAAAAGGGACCCTTCTCCACTGCTGGTGGGAGTGCAGACTGCAAGAGAGGTAGAGAAGGACACAGATATGGACCTCAAATATTTCCTAAAATCAAATAAGACATAGCAGATTGTAATTCCCACTACCTGAAGGCATTGTGAAAAGCACACTGCGTTCCTGGAGAAGGATCAACAGCACCTGCAGCATCACACTCTCTTACCAAAGCCTGATCCCACTTAAAATCGTGTGACACAGTTAATGAGAAACTACAGTTATCTGATAGAACCTACTATTTTAATTATGAACAGAATAGCCTCAATCGACCAAATTTACTTAACATGGACTGTGATCACTCGCTCTGTAATAATTTCTTTTCTATTGTTGGTCTTAAAGCTAGATATAGAACAGCAGTAAAAAATATTAAATCTATTCTACCCACACTTAGTTAATGATGTGGAAAAAAGTCTTCAGGAAAGTACAGACTCCATACACGCAGGATGCGGCCACGGAGGGGAGATGTTGCTGGGAGCCCCCAGCTCCTCCCGTCCCTTCCTGAATTGTCTGTGGGCATGGGGCCTCCTTCCCAGCTCACCCTGTGCTCCACTCTCACCACTGTAAAACCCCCGTACCTGTGGCCAAGCCCCTTCGAGCATCCCAGACTTCTACCGGGTGCAGCCAGCATCCTTCGGAGAGAGAGACTGCACCTTACCAGAGGCCCCTCCCGCTCTTCCTTTCTATCCCACGAGCCCAAGAGTGTCCCTCCAGTCCACAGCAGAGGTCCCATTTGACCCTGCCTTCTTTTTTTTTTTTAATCGGTACCGGGGATTGAACTCATGACCGCCTGCTTGCAAGGCAGGTGCTTATGCCGCTGAGCTAAATCCCCAGCCCCTGACCCTGCCTTCTAACAAAGCCCTAAGGAAAACAGCTGACCTGAGCAGCGCATTCAAGGCCCCAGCATGTTGCCGGGCCAGAATGCCAGCTGGAGAGGGCCAGCTTCTCTTCCAGGCTGGCTTCTCCACCTCACCTCACGCCAGGTACACACTGTCACCGGGCAACTCTCTGTGCTCCTTTGGGACAGGCCCTACTAGACAACTTCCTACAAGGATCCAGGCCAGCACTTCACTCTGTGCTCCACAACCAGGAAAAGCCGGGAGTGGATCTGTCCAGTAATCAGAGAAACCATAAAAAGCTGATTAAATATGTTAAATTTTAAGGCTACATTTTAATACTCGAAAGGTGAAATAATGGAAGATTTTCTCATTTTTTCCAACCTTTTAGTTAACTAGCATCACGAAGACAAAAGAGATAAAATATAAGTATCTGCTTCCCAAAATGGCTTTTTAATTTATCATTTTAAAGAAGAAGAAGAAAAAAAACCCCATCGCTTCCAGGAAACACGCCGGCAAACAGCTACACCTGATAAGGCTGCACAGCTCCTGTACCAGCACGCAGACTGCGAGGGTGCAGGACTGACCTGTTTATTCCTCCTCCTGTCGTCAAGGGCGTAAACAGCCAACTAATCTGATTTTTCCAGATTCACAAATTTTATAATGGACTGAAATCCTGAGGGAGCTACCAACAGATGGATGACTGTGTTATTCTAATTTCAGCTACCTTAGGGTTTAGAAAGCTGTCAGTTCTAAAAAGACAATCAATTTCTCATTTCAAGAAATATGGAAAAAGATATAGAGTATTTTCCAGCATTTGCTTTGAAATATCTTTTATATCAAAACATAGATTTTGCTTGTTTATAGTAAACAGAGTGGAGCTTTATGATAGCAAACCATTGTTCCACTAGCCAAAACAACACATGTTAAAGGATGAGTGTTTAAACCTTTTGCAGAAAATACACCACTGCTGGCTCGGGCTATCACAGTAATAAACACTAAATGATTAATCAACAGGAAGCCACTGTGTCTCTGCTTTCCACAGTGCTCTGGTGGACAGTCCTCATCCAGAGCCTTTAAAGAATTTACCTTTGCATTCGGGTTTATCTGCCTAGACAACACAATCAACTCCAGAGTCGGGGACTCCACTGGCGTAATTTAGGAACAGAACACAGGGTGGCAGACAGTTGCTCACTGAGCAATCAGTCTTGCTGAGCACTGAGATGAGACATAATTTTAATTTTAGATTGTCTACCAAAAATACAACCAGTGGAACCAGGTGCTCAAAGAGCTGCAGAAACTGGAGACTATTACACTGAAGACAGGAGGGACACCCAGGGCTCCTGCAGACCTCGCGGGGTTGGCAGCTCCTCGCGTCCTGTTCCTCTGGCTTGATCACTAAATCTGTATGATGCTGTTCACATGAGTTTTAGGCTCACTCAGCTACCCTTCTTCTCACAGTGCTTTCGCTCTAACACCTTTGTTCTTGTCTCCTTTCTTTTGTGCCTGTCTCCTCATTTTAAATGTGATGATGATCTTGCCCTCAGAGAGCTGAACGGCGCAGTCTCAACCCACTTCTCCACAGGGCACTCCGCAGCCCCTCCGCCTGCCTTCTTATCGCCTCACGTTGCTCTGTTTTCATTCTCTTATGATGTCTCTGATCCCTTTCCCAAATTTGCATTAGATGTCACTAGGCGCCAATAGTTACAGGGTCATCTGTGTTTATAAATACTGATACATTTAGAAAGGCTTTCAGGTTACACCATGTAAGTAACAGACAGCAGAAACAGCGAGCATATTTAATCAAATGCCATGGGAAAATCACACAGGCAATGGCAACCTAACAGAGCGATTTAAGCCTCAGCTAACACGGTCACCATCAATGTGGCCGTTCTCAAGCGAGGGCAAGCAGAGGCGAGCAGGGTCTCTATGCTGGTCTGAATCTGTCCTGGGGGTGGGGCGGGGGGACTGTGGCTCTGAGGGAAGAGCAGTGCGGAGGTGCAGGGATAATCTGGTCATAAGGCTAGAAAGACAGGCTGGGCCGAGCTGGAAGCACACACAGTGTTTCACAGCGTCTTTTCATGGGACTATGACTGGAACATAGAATCCAGCTTAAGGGGAGGACATCTTAGTGGTGCTTTCTGTGGCAAAAGAAGGAGTCACTTTCTCTTAGGAGGAGGCGGAGTGGTGGGGTGATCTACAAGCATGAGTTCCCTGTCCTCCCTTCTCCCTGCCCAGTCCTCTTCCACTGTCCCCTAGGTACTGGGCATCCATCTCTGGCCAATTTCAGCTCCACACTCCACTTCCTCCTTACACAGCACTAGAATCTCGCTAAGATAAATCAAGTAAGCAAGACCTCTGCTCAGAAATCTTAACAGGCAAAAGAATAAACCATTCCAGATAAATCCACTGACACGGCACATAAGGCCCCCCTTCCATCCCTTTACCCTTTCTCTGCTTTCATTCGGCAAGCCTTTGTTGATGTTTTGCTAGTGCAGAGGATGCGGTGATAGGTAAGACAGGAGTGTAAAGCACCATGAACAGCCAGACGTCTGGTGAGAATGTGACAGGGGACAGCAGTGAGATGTGCTGCTGGCTTCACGTGCCAAGCCCATGGCTTCCTGTTTCGTATTTCCAGCCCGCCTTTCCCCACCACCTCAGATTCTCATATCCAGGGTGTGCTCATCCCATCTCCCTGTCTAGGGAGGATCCACAAGCCCACCCCACTGCCCCGCACCTCGCTGAGCTTCGCACCATCCTCCCTGTGGACCCATCCTCGCTCTCAGCATCGGCCAGCCTGCCCCCATCTGGTCGGCCTCACCATCGAAGTGCACCAGGGAACCCTGGGCCCCTCTGCAGATAGATCGCCATGGACACAGAAAGGCTGGAGAAGCTGTGCTGCCAACCCAGCTGGAAAGTGCAGGACAGCACAAGGCAGCGAGCACCCACTAGGCCAGGCCCTGGGGGTCCCCTGGGCTTGAGGGGCGCTGTCACACAGCCAGGGACACTTCCCCCCGGGGCAGCTGGAATGACGACAATGAAACTTGCAGGAGAAGTCTGAGTAGAAGACGTGAAATCAGTTTACATGAGGAAGCTGGGGCTCAATCCACTGGTCTCTTCTGAATGTCAAAACATGAGCAAAAATAACTCTTTCTTCGTAATCGACACATGGTCCTCAGTGCTGTGACACTGCAACTGGAGATAGATGAAGGCACAAACAGTGTGCCCATATGGAAGAGCTCACTAGAGAACACCTGGTAAGACCAGCAGAGTGGAAGGCACCTGAAGAAAAACAATTTCTGACAGACACAGACCGAAAAGGTCCCAAATGACACAGAAACCCAGACACAGGGATTTGTACAGGGACATGCCGTTTAGAACACACACAGCATCAAGTGAGACAGGAAAACTTACATGTATTTGTGACCCAGTTACACTGCTCTGTTTGTACTTGGGAATTTTCAAACTTCAAAATGTTTAAAACGTACCTGTGTATTCCACCAAGGGGAAGTAACATTCAGACGGATTTTCAGTAAGATGAAGCACAAATTTTTCAAGTAATTCTCCTAAAGCTAAAATAAGCAGGAGAATAGTTAGGACATTAAAAGTCAAGCATGTTATGTGACAATGCTTCTCTAAGTCACAGACTAGCAGGTAAAAACCACCCAAACTTCTTCGGTGTTATACCCTACACGGGTCCAGTTCAAAATGCTTATGGTTTTAGCACTTGTAACAATGTTTCAGATTTAAATTAAATTTTAATAGCTTAGCTAAAAACCTATTCAATGCCAAAGTGGAAAAGAATAATCTACTATCTTTAGATTCTTTAAGGATTATTTCAGAAATTACTAAATGATTTCAACACACTAATTAGGCTATAATATCGTATCATAATTTTTCACACATAAAGAGAAAAAAAAAGTAGACTTCAAGACCGGGATTAATGCATGGCTCATGTTCCTGTCAAATCCATGGCATGGTACATAGAAGTTTTCTGTACTTTGCCACTGATGGTGCACGTTCTAAGGAGCCAGATCAAAAGGAAGCTTGCCTCATCTGGCTTGGAAATGACAAACTCCAGGCTGGTCTATTAATGCGGCTGTGTTTACACATGGTATAATCCCAAATACTCAGGGTAAGACAACTAATATGCAAACTAGTGTCTTTCTTTTGCTGAGAAGAAATGCGTCTGCAGAGTTAACTGATTTGTTTATAGATGTAGCAAATAAGCTATGGTCATCTTTAAAAACTGTGTCCTAGTGGCATTCAGGACATTAACTATGACCTGGATTAACTGCAGGGGCCCTGAGTCACATCCACATGCATGTTAAGCATAGAATTCCGAAGGGTAAATCAGTGTTTCACAAATGAAAGGTGCAAAGGCACAGAGGGTTGACACACTGTCCAACTACCATGGCTGACAAGCTGTGGGCGTTGTATTTTGAAGGTTAAAGATACAGGTGAAGAATTTTTACTCTCTATGCATACAGTGGCACAGGGACGGGGGTTAAGGATCTGGAGAGGCAGTGCTGCGGGGCCAGAAGGGCACCAGCGATGTGTGCTGCCACCGTCTGAGGTTACTCCCATACGCAGAGGCACTATTCTCAGCTCACTTATGAAACCCTGCAAGGCCTTTCCCATATGAATATACAGACAAATAACAGATCTGAGGTGAGAGCTTTCAGTTTCTACACATAAAAACTTCTTTATTTATAAATCATTTAGTATTGTCTTTGAGATGGTGAATTTTACAGAAAGAACAGTGTCATGATGAGGCTCAGATATACTCATTCTTAATTTGATTAGACTAATCTTAAGTGTAAGAAATACATTAGTAACAAAGATTGTGCAGAAAAGCCACTTTATTTTGTATTAATTAATTAATTTATTGTGTTTTTTAAGACCAGGTCTCACTATGTGGTTCAGGCTGGCCTTAGGCTCACTTTGTAGCTACTTCATCACAGTGACAGTAAGCTGACTATCAGAAACGGGTGCCATCAGGCCGGGCTGTTGCTGAAACTAACTGTGCAGGTCGAAGCCTTTGGGAATACTGTGCTGGGGAGCTGGACCGCGTGGAAGGCCGCTGCACAAGGCTCAGAACACTGTGGGGCTGCAAAGGTCAGGATGCCGACAGAACGGGGTCAGCAAAGCCCCTGCGGTTTCCAATGGAACCTGGATGAGAAGCCTCGCCTGCTACATTTTGGCAAAGAACTTGCGCAACTTTTTGTCCAAGTCCTGAGACTGCAGGAACCTGATGGAGGGAATTTCAAGCCGCACAACACTCAAGCGGTGGCTCAGGTCCTACTGGCTGCATTTCACCAGAGTTAGAATGAGAACGGGGAGTGAGCAGAAAGAGCAGAAAGACCTGAAAAACTTGCACTTTAGCCAGAAAAGCAGCGGGCATGAACTTGGGGCCAAGGAGAGTGTGGCTGCTGGGGAGATCAGTGCCACTGAAAGGAAGCTCTGGGTTCCATCCCCAGTGGGGAGTGATAGAGCAGAGCAAGCGCTTTGCACTGGGATGAAGTGGGACAGGGTGAAAGCTGCTTTGAGGGCAGTGGGGAATCGGCCAGGCCTCACACTGCAGGGCTCAGGGACGGGAATGGGAACTCCTCTGAAAGGCACTGCTCTGACGGCAGGGCTTCCAGTGCTCAGAGGTCACTGCAGCTGTGGTCCATGCTGCAGCTGGTGGCAGCTGAGGCATCATCTGCTGAATGCAGGTTTGTAGTAACACAGAATGCAAAAGCTGGGGCCAAGGAGGTGTCCATCAAGGGCCCCACATGCAGCCATGTGCACTTCAATCCCTGGGAGGGCTGTGTGCTGCTGTGAGAATGCAGTGGAAGCCCATGGAGACTACCCCCCACCCCCCACCCCCTAACCCCAAGCTGGAGACACTATGAACATGGATTATCAGCTAGGGAAAGCCACAGAGCAGAAGCAGTCAGAGAGAGGCTGTGTTCCTGCAGCCAAAAGGCCACGTGCCACGGCTGCCAGCCCTTTGGGGGCCACATCTCACTCACACGTGCCTCAGACGCCAGGTGTAGAGGAGTGGATTGAGCGTGTGTCCTGCTAGGTTCTGGGCTTGCGGTGGTCAGTTCTTCCTTGGTTATCTCCTATCAGCTCCCATCTGACCCTGACATGGGAATGTTCACACTGCATCTTGGGAGTACACAGCTTGCTCTATTATTTATGGGGGCTCACAGCTAAGAGTCTGCCTTGAATCCCAAAGGAGACTTTGCACTTGGACCCTTCAGCAGTGTTGGAACTGTTTAAAGACCATGGACAACTTTTGTAATCGGACTAAATGCATCTTGAGTGATGAGATGGACAGAACTTTGGGGGCAGGAACGGGCTCTTACGGCATGGATATGGCGTGTCCTCAAAAGGCTTGCTGTGCTGAAGCCCTGCTTGCTGATGGCTCTTGGGAAATGACTGGATCTTTGAGAGGCCGCACTTCAGCATCTGGCTGTTTGTGCCACCTGCTCAGCCCTGCAGCTAAATGGAATGCCTGCCTCTTCGGCCTCCAGCCCTCCCATTCACTCCTAGCACACTTCCTCGGGTGGGACCCTTAGTGCTCAGCTGTGGTGGGGGACTCCTAACCAGTCTCCCTATAGCTGCTCCTCCTTCCTACACCTTCATACACACAATACATATTCCTGACACACACTTCTCTGCACAGAACCCTAACTCTGTTAGCAGTCCTGATTCCCTTTTGCCTACAAAGCAAGAGCCAATTTAGTATTTAATGTATTCATTTCTCAAACTTTTATTCAGTATTTACTATGTGTCAGGTACCTACTATATGCCAAGCATTATGATTTCATAATTGGGAACTATAAATAATGAACAAAGTGTAATTTTTACAGCATTGGATATTAACCCCAAGGCATCATGCATACCAAGCAGGTGCTCTACCAGCGACTTTAACCATAGCCCTGAAACCATTCTGTGCTCTTACACTGTCCCTCACACAAGAGCAGCACCCTTAACATGAAAACCTAAAGTCCAAAATCCGAAACTTTCCAAGCACTGACACGATTCAAAGTTTCAGATTTTAGAGTTTTACAGATTAGAGATGTTCAGTTGGCAAAGCATGTGCAAGTACTAGGAAATGTGAAAAACTCAAAAATGTGTGAAACCCTCTGGCCCAGGCATTTTGGATAAGGGTACCTCAAACTGTAATTGGTATTGAGTCTTGAAAATAATCTGGTTGCATCAAACACACTTGCTTTATGGCCATAAGTAGACATAAAAGGCCATAAGTAGGCTGATTTAAACCTGTGGCAGGCAGCATTATTAAGGGACCATTTGGATATACGGATTTAGCAAAAGCACAGGAGCATAATTCAGGGGCTGACAGAATAATCAGGAGCACCCTGAGCCGCTCTCCCCTGTGGGGAGTTAAACGAAGAAGCAGGCTGTGAAAAAAGCCTGCTTGATGTGGGAACCACATGTTGGTAGGTGCTACGGGAGGCTGTGCTGGGCTGGACCAGTAATGATAGAGGATGACACCAACAAAGACAGGCACAGGAGGACAGAGAGAACCCCACCTGCTGTGTGGTCTCCTCTAGCGCCAGGCTTCTCCTGGTCTCCGCCTCTGATGGTTTTTTTCTTGAGCTCTGATGTCCTCATGGCTGCTGATACGGAGCGGCCTGGAACTCAGCTCCTTGTATCTCTCTGTTATTAAGTGCTTTAGTGCTTGCATATTATAGGATCACCTAAATCAGTGCAGAGTTTAGTCTCCTTACTGTGTGGCCAGAATGAAATGTGACAGTCGTGACTGGCTTAGTGCCTTAAGGGGTCAAGAGGGAAAGTACCACACGAAAAGCAGATCAAAAAGAGCAGACTTCACAGAGACATCCAGAAGGGCTACCGTCTGTCACACATGGCCCCCCACTCCAGGTCTGGCTCCTGGAGAAGCAGCCCAGGAGGGGGGCCGGCGATACAGGGGACCCTGGCCCTTTCTCTCTCCCTTGCTCTCAGCCATAGGGGAGGCGCGCTTCCTCACGGCTCCTGCTTGGGTCCCAGGCCCAGAGCAATGAATGGTGGATGGTAACTTTCAAAGCTTCGATCCAAAATAAACTTTTTCTCTTTATATGTGTTTACTGCAATTACCTGAATAGAGATGTAAACTAACAGCAGACACGAGTTTACTGACAGAGAAAACACTACTCCACATTGAACTGGGTGGAAGGACAAAGGAAAACGCGTGACTGTTACTGACGCAGTCTGATGAAAATTACAAACAGGGATAATCTCTGAATTATATGTAACTTTCACTTAAAGAAGGTTTTTTTTTTTTTTTTTTTTTTTTTGTCTTTTTCCTTTTTATCGGTACCGGGGATCGAACTCACGACTGCCTGCTTGCAAGGCAGGCGCTTATGCCGCTGAGCTAAACCTCCAGCCCCAACTTTCACTTCTTAATGACGCTTATTTAAAACAATCACACTTTAGACTGCAACGGTCCAGCTGCTGAATGGCGAATATCTAAATTAAGGTAGTGCTTGCAGATACAGAGTAAAGACAAACTGCGGAACAGAATCAACGTGACACAGTCACGGTGAGGAGCGCAGTCACTTGGGGGGAAACAAAAAGAGAAGTCACGGAGAACTAGGTTTCCCCTTTTAATGGGCAGATGCTGTTGAGGATGATTAGACAAGAAACACAAAGGAAGCGCTTCCTCTCCTCCATTCATGGCATTTCACAGGGGGCAAGTGTGAAATCCAAGAGCAGCATTAAAAGCTAAACAAGCAGCTCCACACATGGTGAATGGATTTTTTGTTCTCGCAGCATTAAGCTTCTCCAAAATTAGCAGACTTGTAGAATTAGTACTGTGCTTTCTGACTATACTAGGAAACTTCAGGAGCCACACAATCTATTAGTATGATTTCCTGCCAAAAAAGAAAACCCAAATACCTTAATGGAAAACCGCACTCACCAGCGCCGCTGATTGCATCGCGTTTGGCCTTCATCATTTTGCAAAATTGACTCCGGCAGTTTTCTATCCACTCGCTTTGTTTATCAGACACTGTGAAGCATGATAATAGCTTGCCAAGATCACCATCTAACAGGAAGAATAAAATATTATGTTGTTATAATACAACACAGCACATATGCTGAAACCTGAGTACTGATGCCAAATAGGCAGACAGCTACAAATATCAGAAAAACTACTACATGTGACTTTTGAAGGAAAAGGTATTTTTCTGTAATTATAGCACATGTATGGTCAGTTACTATTTATCATATTCACCACAAGCTTAGGAGATGGATTACTGAATTACTGAAAGCCCCTAAGATGGATCGCTACTTTGTATCCATAAGTCCTGGAACTTTCTTATGTCAGCACAGTTCATTACTGAGGATGTGTTTCAACAGACAGTGTGAACCCTGAAATTTCCTGAGTTACACTCAGTCTTTAGGTGTGTTCAGGTGCAATTTTATGTGTGTCTTTCAAAGCAAAATGAAAGCACAAATGTAGAAAACTTCTAGTCAACCACTTGTTCCTTTTTTGAAAAATAAAAATACAGCCCCAAAGCTGTTGGAAGTATGCTCCTCTGGAACATACTTGCCAATTTAGAATACAACTTATGCTCACTTTTATTGTCAGTTAAAGATAAATTTAATTTCAATGAAACATATATGAGTTCCATCTACGTGGCTATAATGATCAAGACAATGTCCCTGTCCATATGAGACTCATCTCCAGAGTGTACACACACATGTCTATAGAGCAGACCAGTTTTCCAAGGAAGGTGTGTTCCAAGACCCTCAGCTGACCACTGAAGCCATGGATGCACCGATTCCTGTACAGGCTCTCTGTTTTCCTAGATATATACACATATTATAAAGTCTAATGTATACACTGGACACAGTAAGAGATTACCAATAGTAACTGGTACCACAGAAGGATTAGAAGGCTCTGCACTGAACTGCCAATGTCAGGACCCCTGCGCTCAGGAGCCGCTGCCAGTGAAACACAGACGCACCGCAGCACTGTGACAGCTGCTGCATGACCAACACCGTGACTCAGTGACTCAGCACACAGTGCTCACAGGGCTAATTCCCAGCCCAGACAGGACCAGGAGAGGGCAGGAGACTCCACCGTGCTGCACAGAACGTGCTGCCATTTAAAACTTATGAATTCTTTATTTCTGGAATTTTTATTTAATATTTTCAGACTGCAGGCGATAATGAGTAACTCAGAGAAAGTGGGACTAGACAGGAGGGACAGCTGTAGCCATGTGTCTGTGCACACATACGCACATGCACACAGGGAGATGCCCGCGGGGTCAGTGGGCCACGGCCACGTGGGCACTGTAACACGCAGTCATTACCCCCAAGCTGTCATACATCGTTATGGGGCCTTGACAGTCACCAGACATACACACAAACACACAGACACACAGATACATGCACACATACAAACTCATGCATATACATTTAAAATTGATAACATGTAAGCATTCCCTTCGCTGGCCTTTAGGTCACAACAAAGCCTTATATGAAAGCTACCCAAATATTCTTGTAGAAAACACAGAAATACACAGAGACATACACACTAGTCAATGCAAACTCACAAAAATACAAATAAATATTGGTTGAAACAATGCAGACGTCTCCTATTCAGTACTAATAGATTACCTTTAAATATCAAGGCTTTAACTATATAAAACATTTCACAAACTATATAGATGCTTTCACATAGCTTCAATAATAATAGCAATAATTAGATAAAATTTACCATATTAAATCAAAGGGGAAAAATCCTTTAAAACACTAAAAATATTAAACTCAAGAAACAGTAAATAATTTCATTAAAAATCATGCTACCATTAACAAAAACGTTTTAATTTCAAATGTATCTTAATATAGATAAGTAAAAATTCAACATACTGAAATTCACATTTTACTGTCTTCATATATACACTATTTTCCTAAGAAAAAACTACCATTAGTTTGCTCAAGTAAACTAATAAAATCAATACCAGTACACGACTGCAAAACAAATGTGGTCTGCTTTTCCATTTTTGCCTCCTTCCGTTTTTTTTCCTTTTTCTTCTCCCTATGTCACCCTGCTTTTACCTTCATTAAACAAAGGTAGTTACTACTGCCTCTTTCACAAGCCTTCTGTCACACGGAAATCTTTTCCTCTCCCAAACTTCCTCTCCACTCCTTCTCTTTTCACATTTTGCATTGTTTTGCCTTCTTGTCCTCTGATTCTACAGAGGAGAACACGGAGCCCTGGAACGCTGAGTAGCGCGGAGGTAGCAGGTGAGATGTGTCTGGTTCTGGCGTTCAGCCGACAGGAGGGAGGTGTCTTAGTTACTTTTTACTCGTCGCTGAGACAAAATACCTGAAGCCCAAAGTTGGGAAAGTAAAGGTTTATTTCTTACAGTTTTTGGAGGTTTCAGTCCACACACTGTTGGCTCCAAGACAGGCGGGCATGGCTGGGCCGCAGTTCACAGCGGCTGCAAACAGCAAACAGGAACCAGCAAAGAGCCAGACACACCTTCCTGCCATTACAACACATCCTGGCTCCACCCCTATGTGGGTGGAGCACTGACACCATCAATCCAAGCACTAGACAATGAACCAATCACAAACACACAATGCAAACTCATGAGGCCTGGGGGACACAGACATAAACCATGACGGGAGGGCAGCAGAGATACAGTGGGCTGGAGAGGGGCCTCAGCAGCAAGACCCCTAGAGGGCTCTCAGCTCTGTTCAGACTTCCGGGGACAGTCTCCCCAGCCATCTTTGTGAATGTATGCTTTTCCATTTATATTCCTCACAATTTAAAATACCCCGTGATTTCATATGCTAATGGAATCTGACTCTGTGATGGCACTGGTTTCAAAGGGAGCAACAACTGCTTCATTTCTTCCTATTTGGAACCAACTGAGAGGCAGACAGGTGTCTTAGTTACCTTCTTGTGGCTGGGACAAAACACCCAACACCCATACCATGCAGGAAGAAGGTTGGCTTTGGCTCACAGTTTAGTCCGCAGTCAGCAGGCTCCAAGGCAGAAACAGAAATGGCAGGGCAGAGGCCAGGGGAGCAGCTTAAAGTGGGCACCAGGGAGGGGGCCCTTTCCCAGTCACTCCCCAAGGAGCCCCTCTAACCAGACCTCACCTCTCAGCAGCACAGTCAGTGTTCCCACATCAGTCACCTTTAACACACAGGCTTCGGGGAGAAGTCCAGATATAACATGCAACAGGAGTGTGGAAAGCAGAATTCCGAGTGTCGCTGTTAGAACAGAGATCACTGCACCAGGCCCCAGCCTGCAAAGGCAGCCATACCGTTTCCAAATGCTTTCTCTGGATTCAGTGAAAGCCAGTCCATTCTTCCTAGAAAACCTACTAACACATCCAGAAAACAGACTCACTTGACAAGAGTCCACAAAAAGGCTAATCCAAGACTCTGCATACCCCCTCCAAATTCACTCATCAATCATGCCTCCTAACTCTGTGCAGAGGAAGGAAAATGTCTAGAAAAACCTAAGTAATGTTACTCCAGCAGAATGCCTGCCTGGAGTCCTGGGACCAAAGGAAATGATCTTCCATTGTGTCTCACAGACGCACGGCGCCTTCGAATTTGTGATTCTGTTAGTGAAATAAACATGAATGATCAGTTTTGCCAAAACTTCTACATAAAATGTTTCTTCTTTCATAGTCAGGGGGAAAAAAAGAACATTAAAAAAATAAAAACTCAGCCAAGGATCTAGGTCAGTGGTATAAGCACCTACATAGCAAACATGAGATTGTGAGTTCGATCCCCAGTACCAAAAATCCCCCAGAACTCTGGATTTGCTCATGATGGAAGGGAGACCTAGAGCTATTCTCTTTCAAGAAAGCAGCCAGACCTCAGTGCACGCAGTCCGAGGAGGAAAGAGCCTGTTCACAGCGATGGGAAAACCAGCGACTGTTGCAGCTACAACTGGAAAAAAGCCAGCGAAAGGGAAAAAGGGAATCTCTGCAAGGCCATGAGAAAACGTCCTGTATGTGGACGATGGTGACAGTCAAAACTCAAACTCTTAGAAATGGTACATTATGGACAACCATTTCCAAGAAAACAAGACACACTGTGGTAGCCACTGTTGATTTCCTGCTGCCTTGTTTTGAAGTCCTGTGATGCTTGCATTGTTCTGTTCTGATCTGCTGTTTTATTTTGTTTTATCCTTTTTAAAATAAAAAAAATAAATAAATAAACAGGTATATTTATCATATATAAAAGTTATAGGAAACACAGGTGGATATGGTGGAAGTCACACAGCGGCTAAGATGAAGCAACGCAGCAGGCTGCCGACGCATGACCACCTGAGCTCCTGACTGTGTGTGACGTCTACACTGGAACTCACTAAGCTGCACGACATGCTCATCTGTAAGGAGCACAAGATGCACTGTCTGCAGTATGCAATGCAGCCTCCTGTGACAATGTGAACACTCCCTCGAAGGTTACATAGCAGAAACTTGTATCTACTACCTGATTGAATATAACAATTTCTTTCCTACGTGGCACTATTTTTATAGCAGCAATATCTAAGAACATTTACCACTGTGCTATTATTTCTAGACTGTAAACTGTAATAAATTAGGATGTAGTTTCAATTCTGTGCTTGGTTGTGATGGAGTCACCGTGAGGAACTGTCACGTTGCCTTCAGTCTAAATTCCATTCTTATAATCACCAAGAAAAGATAACAAAAAGAAACACTAAATCTTCAGTTTATGAAATTTAATAAAGCAGCAGACATTATTTTATGTCTAAGCTGAAATTCTCAGTTACCCTGAGTAGTGTAATTTTTCCATGTATGGGGATATTATACAATTTGTTTTGCAAAGATAATAGCAAGAAAGAAATATTAATTATGTAAGACTATGCAATAGGCTACATATGTATAGTAAAACTTTAAAAAGGAGGAAAAACATACCCAAGATAAATACAAAAAAATCTGCTATTTATCAGGAAATTTAATAATTCTTAATAATTAATGCCAGTTGCAGTAATTTCCTTTTTATCAGTACCAGGGATCGAACTCACGACTGCCTGCTTGCAAGGCA